CAAAAATCAGAGATGATTGCCGGCAATAAGTCTGTGGTAACCCTCAAACCACAATCTTGTTTGTGGGTTGCCACCATTACAGACACCAACCATCTTGCAGCTATAGTTTACTCCAGCAGCCTCAGCAGAATTTATGGTTCCAACAATTAAAGCAAGTCAACCTTGAAGCAGCACAGCAGCCCCAACCCATAACCGTACCACCTTGTTTGACTCTTGATATGATGTTCTTTTTATGAAATTATGTTATTTTCTCAAATGGATTATCAAGATGTTTTTTGTTTGTTTTTTCGTCAGGAGTACTTTTCTTCCATGTATGCTGTTTTTTTCCCCAGTCTCTTTCTTATTACTGATTCACAAACTCTGAACGAAGGCAAGTGAGGCCTGCAGTTTATAAAGTGTTTGTGTGTTTTGTTTTGTTTTTTAACTTCCTGGATGAGTTGTCGTTGGTGTAAGAGCCTAGCATGATGTTTTTGCCTTTTGAAATCGTTAAGCCTGCTTCACTTTCTCAGACAAATTTTATTTAAGCGATTTCTTGATTCTGGTCTGGCAGCAATCAAACCTGGGTGTGGATAGTGGCACTGAACTAGACTTTCTAAAGAAAATGTGGTTAATCATGGGGTCATTATTATTTTAAAGCTTCACAGTATAAAAGTCATTTAGCAGCCATACTGAATTATCCAGGGACTTGAAATGGAAATTCCAAAGGTCATTTGGAGATAAAACCTGCATGTGCAGGATATCTGGCCCCTCTTTTGCTTAACAAACCTTTATCACCAATGAGAGAAACATATTTTTGTATATTGTCTGGTAAGTATTAAAGTATTATTATTATTTGGTTAATGTATATTTTATTTTAAGGTGTATTATTTTTTGTTGTAATGTAATGTACTGTGATGATGGTTAGAAAGTGTGTGTGTGGCTGCTGAAGAAGTGATCAGTTGCACTTTGACCTTTAACCTCTCTGCTCTGTGTTGTTTCCTCTTTCAGGCCAGAAAATCATCACAGCTGAGTCTGGACAGAACGTCACTCTGCCATGTCGAGCTCCAAACAACAACATCATAGTTGTAGAGTGGAGCAGAGCTGACCTGGGAGAAGAATATGTTCTTTATTACAAGGATGCGCAGTTTATTACAGATGAACAGCATCCATCTTTTAAGGACCGTGTCACTCTGCAGGACAGACAGATGAAGGATGGAGACGTGTCTTTGATTCTGAAGAATGTGACGATTAATGATAATGGAACATACGAGTGTCGTGTTGTCCTGCAAGTGAGAGGACCTATGACTCACATCAACACCATCCACCTTCATGTTGATCCTCCAGGTGAGTGAGTAGAGTTGAGTGTGTGTGTGATCAGAGGTGAAGCTGCTTCCTGGTTGTTGATGTTTGTTTCTAAAGATGTTGTTGATGAGACTTTGTAGAAAGCAGCTGGTCTGAGTGATGTGATCAGAGTGCAGTAGATAATGTCTGACAGCAGTTTGAAGAGGAAATGGATTCTGTTCTGTTCTTCACTCATCACCTACCTGACAGCTGACACCTCACACCTGTTTCTCAGCTGCAGGTCAGACAGGAGGAGACACAGAGGATGGAGGGAAGGAGGATGGAGGGAAGGAGGCTGGAGGGAAGGAGGATAGACAGAGGGAAAATGGATCTGTTGGGCTGAAGGTTTGTCTGACAGTTTCTAGCATGCTTCTTCTTGTTGCTGTTGGTTTTGCAGTCTAGAGAACAACAGAGCCTTCCTGCTGATAAGCAGCTTGTTTTGAAATGTCCCAAAGATTTTAACGGATTGACTCAGAGTCTCTCATCGAGCTACCAACTTCTTGGTGTTGTCACATAAAATTTCTTTAATCTGACCAAAGTAATAATAAATAGACATTGCTTTTCAACCATGCTTCCACAGTCCTGGACAAAAGTGATGGTACCCACAACTTCATATTTTGTTGCACAACCTTTTGAGGCAATCACTGCAATCAAACGATTCCTGTAACTGTCAATGAGACTTCTGCCCCTCTATGCAGGTATTTTGGCCCACTCCTCATGAGCAAACTGTTCCAGTTGTTTCCGATTTGAAGGGCTCCTTTTCCAGACTGCATGTTTTAGAATAGAATTGAGGTCAGGTCTCACAGAAGGCCACCTTAAAATAGTCCAATGTTTTCCTCTTAGCCATTCTTGGGTGTTTTTAGCTGTGTGTTTTGGGTCATTGTCCTCTTTGTAAGACCCATGACCTGCAACTGAGACCAAGCTTTCTGACACTGGCCAGCACATTTCTCTCTAGAATCCCTTGATAGTCTTGAGATTTCATTGTACCCTGCACAGATTCAAGACACCCTGTGCAAAGCAACTCCAGAACATAACCGAGCCTCCCCCATGTTTCACAGTAGGGACAGTGTTCTTTTCTTGATATGCTTCATTTTTCCATCTGTTAACATAGAGCTGATGTACCTTGGCAAAAAGTGCAATTTTTGTCTCATCTGTCCTCAGGACATTCTCCCAGAAGCTTTGTGGCTTGTTGACATGTAGTTTGCCATACTCCAGTCTGGCTTTTTTATGATTTGTTTTCAACAATGGTGTCCTCCTTGGTTGTCTCTGGGCTCTTTTGTTACCATTCGGATTATCCATCTCTTTGATCTGTCATCAATTTTCCTCCTGCGGCCACGTCCATGGAGGTTGGCTACGGTCCCCTGGATCTTAAATGTCTGAATGA